TTAATTTTACACGAAAGTAGACGAGAACAACTATCAAAATAAATACAAAATATATGAGTGGAAATGCAAAGTCTTCATAATGGTCATTTTCGAGTCATTTGTGATGGCTAAAAAAAAACACGCAGAACACTTTTTTCCATGACTTCTTTGAAGATCATGAAATTCCATTGAGAAAACCTATTTTCTAATGCAAATATTTAATTTCAGAATAAAGAAGCAAAAAGGAAGAGAAGTTATCTGCTTCTGGCCAAACTGTAAGAGATTCAAGGTAGCTAAATAATTTTGTAGAAATAGTACAGATTCAAACTTGCGATTGGAATATTTTTTATAATAAATGGCACAATGAATTCTTTAATCTCTTTTTTCCTATACACACATAACACAAAGGAAAAATCCCTGTTGATACGAAATGATATATATTGATAAATGCTATTCAGATACAAAAATGCTAAATATCCGTGAAATACTAAATATATTTAAGCTTAAAATTTTGAATAAACTGAAATTTAATTAAAATAAGGGCAGAGGTAGATTTGCAAAAATCTTGTTAGGAAAAACGTGTTTTATGTTTCTGAGCGACTGTTTTAGGCATATAATCAGTAGTGGCGAATGCTATGCATATATATAATTTACATGAAGTTTAGTATGTAGTGTAAAAGAACAATTTAAAATTTACGCTTTATCAAATTACGTAAAACATGTAAGAAGTCATATTATTGTTTTCCTTTGAAAACATACGAATCAATTAAATAAATAGAGAAATTTGCATAAACTCCTCTTTTGCTTTATTTTTGTTGCAAAACGTTAAAATCTTGAATATTAAAAGAATCCGGGAAGATAATTAAATTTTAAACATAATTTTCGTATTATAAAAATAGTTATGATAAGTGCATGAAAATCAATTAAAAAAAGCAGATTTTTTTTTAAAATAAACACTTATTTTGAAAGGAAAATGTAAATAAAAAACTTATTTCACAAAAATACGTTTTTTCAATAAAACGCATTTCATAATTTAATATTAGAACATAATTAGTTATGAACTGTACCGTATTGTATTCTGACGTAACCATCCCCATATTGCAATTTATGTATTCTAAATTCTGCGAAATTTAATATTCTAAAAATTATTTATACAGTAGTGATTTTAATAAAAAAAAAATAAGTTTTTGATTACTTTAAAGCTAATGATTTTGCATTTGATTTTTTGAGTGATTGTTTTTTTCTGCGATTCACAGTATCAAATATTTAATTAAAGATATTCTCATAAATGTATATGCTCGATTATGCATACATAAAAATATTATAATGATTTCAAAATGATTTACAGTATTTCATCTCGTTTTTCAAGTAAAAAATTAGGATTTTTGAAATTTAAGTAGAAGTTTTAATTAGTTCGGTACATCGAATATAAAAAACCACTAAAAGTCTGTGCAGATATGAACATACTTAATTTTTATCTATTACCTACTTAAAATTATGCACTAACCAGCAAATTATTTCATTAGTAAATTATATCGTTCAGATTTCTTATAATTAACTATATGATATCTATTCTTACTTAATTTTTCATGAGTTCTGTGAAGCAAATTTATCCATTTTTCAAATGCTTAATAAATTAAGTCATTTTTGATTTGATACTTTGAATATTTGAGCTCAAATATTTTAGAGATTGTTTTATATACATCTATTATGCACGTCAAATTTTAAATATAATTTTCATTAAATATTTCAAAATTTTAAAATGCACAAACGTATCCCATCTTGAAGATTTCGTTCTGTCGAATACCTTCATGATTTCAATTGGTTAAGCCCACGGACTCCAAAGTATAAAGTTAACAACTTATAATTGAGTAAATGCGCCGATTTATAAATTCATTATTTAAAATTTATAAATGAAATCCCCTATTTAACTTACTCTAAGTAATTACTTAAAACTTTACATTAAATTTTGATTTTTTTTAAATCGAATTGCGTAAATATTTTTAGTACTATTTAATTAGTACTAAGTATATTGTTTCCATGTTATTTATATCCAAAAAAAATCAGAAAGTTAAAATTACGGTGACCATTTTTGATGTGATTACAAATAAGAGTTCTAAATTTATTTGAAATTTAGAGCGAATTTAAGGAAGATTGCTGAATGTAGTTGAAAGAATGCGGAATTTAGAGCAATGAGTAATTTTACACCTAGTAATTAGCTGTATCCCTAAGCTAGATGAAAAATTAAAAATGGTTTTTACTCATGAAATTTTCATGAAATAGCCCTTTTAAAATTAATACTTAATAATAATAATTCAGAAACCAAAAATATCATTTTATGTATTACTTTATCACATCTTATTTATTACATATATATTATGTATTACTCATATACATCACAAATTTAAAAGATGAGCTGAATAATTTAAAAGTTATTTGAAATATGAATCCAAGCTACTTTTTCTTTCTTAAATGAGGAAACTAGTTCTTTTCAATCTACTGTTTTCTGTAGTATTTTATTATAAGGAAATGTTTAAATTTCAGAACTAATTATTTTATGAAGGACATAAAATTATTTTTGTATAAAAAAAACTATTCTTATTGCTTATTTGCTATTCCATTTACTTATACTTTTTATTCATAAATGGAAGCTACTTTAGATTTATTTTTTAAAAAATTGATCCAGCTATTTTGTTAGTCTTTTTCGTATCGGTTTTGAAAAATATAAATTTTAATACTTTAAAATATTGTTCTTAAAATAATAACTCAAATCTTATTCATGGCATTTCTTTAATCTTACACTAAATAAAATTTATTTAAGCCCCTGCATATTTTACTTCCTGAGGATTTACCTAGACGTTTCTGCTTTGATAAAAACGTCCTTAATACTTTAAACTTGAATTAAACAAATTTAATCACGTCAAAAATAACTTCGGTTTCTGTCAACTCTGTTTTTTAAACTCAAAGATAAGAGATGTAAATTCACTATCCCGAAAGGCTCCAATTTCTTTCTTTTTTGCAGTACACGCCATTTGTAAATAAGAATTCTTTTGCAATAGTAAAGCAAACCGCAACTCATTTTTACGATATAATTAAAATATATGTCAAGAGTTATTTATTCTTGAAATTTTATGCATAAAAAGCATTAAATTTTTGAAAATTAAATAATAATAATAATAATAATAATATTAAAAAAAAATTTCTTTAAGTTTTTCGCGTCAAAACTTTGAGCCTACTCATATATATTTTGACCTTTTCTAGTTGCTTTAGCAAGTAAATTTAGAATTTAACACATTATTGGTTATTTGTTAAGCAAATTGATTCAATGTTATAATATAATTATTAAAAATTAGGAGAGTTTGTACTGAAACATTTGAAATGCATAGATTTTCAACGTAAAAATAATTAGGAAAGAGATAAGAATATATAAGAAGTGTACATTTGTCCTTATAATTGAAATACATTTATTAAGAATTATAATGTTTAAATTCTCATTTTTGATAACTAAAAAAGTCCTTAATTTACACAAAGTAAATGTATTTAGATGAAATTTTTACAAAATCATTTTTACAACGATACTAAAAATATACGTTGTTACCCTGAATAAATTTTATATCAACATCATTAAAAAAAAAATTTATTGAAATTTTGCGTTTTGTTTCAACCAAAGAACTATTGAAATTCCAGCTAAAACTAAACTTAAAGAATAAAATAAATATTAACAAGCAAGATTAACATATTTTTTTAAAATTTTTATAACTTCGATAAATACTTATACTCTTAAATTATTTAATTGTATAAAGATAATGGTTTGAGGATATTTAAGAAAAGAAATAACTAGTGCATTTTAACAGAACATAGATGAATATATCTTTTGCAGATTTAATAACTCTAAAATATGCCCATTTTATATATTAAATCAAAATTGAAAATATTGGTTTAATAATTATGCTTAAATAATGTATTGGGAAAATGATAAATAAATACAAAACTGATATTTCAAACAATCTGATCTTACAAGAAAATTTATATTTTGCTTTAACTCATTTTTGTATTGATTAAAATCCTTTAAAATCCAGTTTGTGAAACTAAAGAATTCTTAAAAAAATTTCCTCAAATTTTAAACTTTTGCTTATTTTTAATGCTTAAAATTATTTTTTATACAATTTTAAATTCATTCTTAAAGAAACAGAAATATTACGTCCCATTCTTAAGCTTGGAGAAAACGAACCTTATAGAAAATAGTCATCTTTGAATGTAAATACTTAATGCCCCATATTCATATTTAATGCCTCTTCAGCGTAATTGCGCGAGAAATCTCAAACAAATATATTATTCAGTTGAGCGCCGTATTTGAACTTCAAATCTTACCAGCAGATCATTGTTTCTTTATCAGATATTAATATATTTAAAAATGTTTTCCATCATTTAAAACACTCAAAAAACCCCTCTTTTTCAGCACGACTGAAAAATTCTTACAGTGCAATTTCCTTTCAAGGTTATTTAATGCCATTGGTTTCTTGTTTACAATATATTTTATAAAATATTTTTTGGTGAAATTTTAATACCCGAAAACATGATTATTACAAATATTTATGGAGTGCAAAAAAATTTTAAGCATGTTTGTACTTAAAATAAATTTCGTGCAAGTAAAAATCAATTTTCATGCTGCATGATTAAAGCGTTAAAATAATCTATTTCAATTCCATTTTAAAAATACTAACAAATTAAAACATTCAAACTAGATTTCTCCCTTTTTCATCATGTCTTTAACTTTTCAAATTGAATAAAGCCTAATACCACAGGATATGCAATTGCTATTATTATCATTTCAAGAGGAACTTTTTAAATTACTATATTATAAAGTTAAAATTTACTTTTTGTTAATATTGCTAAAAATTTAACGTTTTTCGATGAAAAAAATAGTAGTTTGTTTGCTTTTTTTCTCACTTTTACATGAAATTTTGAATTGACTTATATGGTTGATAAAATTATGGTATTTAGCCTTGGAATTTACTTACCCCTGGGTTTCCCATACAGTGTCTCCGCATTGGATCCGCACTTCGATAGGTTGGTGAATACCGACCAGGAAAACAAGTCCCCGTCCCCGTATTAATCGGGGGCGGTAAAGGGACGTGTTGCTTTACATTCATGGCTGATGAAACACTCAGCCAATCTTCTTCGCAACACACCTCCCGTTTTGGGAATGCCAGATTAGTGCCAGCCAGAGCTAAGCCTAAAAACAGAGAATGCCGGAAAATATGGGAGGTTTTTGTGGGCGGATTCCGAAGACTGATTTGCTTGAAGCGAGGACTCCACTGGAGTTCGGTGTTCTCCCGGTGACGTCAGCTTATTTATGTACGCGCATGCGCATTTCAGATCTCTCCCGATGCTCCTTTAGCCTCTTCTCTGTCTTTATCAGCGATCAAGGGTAACAGTGGATTACATATTTATGCAGCGAGTTCGCGTTGTTAAAAGTGTGGTTTTTTTGTCTTTTGTTTTGTTCGGGGATAAAAATTAATAAGCGTTAGGATTTTAACGATTAGATGAAGAGGGTTTTTTTTTTATTTCCGCGTTCCTTCGTTTCTTTGAAAGAGAAGCGAGGTTTAAGATGATGATTTTGAACTATTCTAAAAATAGGATTAAATATAAGGCTGCAGAAAAGCAATTTAGTACTACTTTTCTTTTAATAATGTACAAAAAGATATAATTCATTTTTAAATAGAAAGTAAAAACTTGATTTATAAAGTGAGCTGGGGTTGATATTTTAATTAAAACAATATTTGTTTCAGTATCTCCGGACTTGCGTTTTCATTTACAAATATTATTTTATTAGGTTTGTATGCTCAAATTGTAACTCTGCAATCCAATATTCCTTAATTAATTGAATCAAGCGTATCATACTTGGTTTCTGAGAAAGAATAATTAAGTTTAGAAAGAAAATAATGGTTGCTTTTTGGGATTAAAAACGAATTATTTATTAAGACTTCGCTCTTAAAACTCGCTGAGTATTATTTTTAAAAACTCTTCTTTTCCTAATTAAATATCTTCTCTAAAAAACTATTAATTATAACTTTGTTTTTATAATGTTATTTTTCAACCTTTCTCAATATTTTCTTTTTATATACAAAGAAATTTTAGAAATATTTTGCGGTATGAAAGCTGCAAAATATATTACATTGACTATTAATGTAGTTCAAAATCTGAATCTTTTAGAAATTATCATGATTTCTGAAAAAATCTTTAAGAAAATTTAAACTATTAATGAAAGTATAAAATTTAATGTCATGTTACCTGTAATTTTTCTTGCCTTTATAAAATAAATTTTCTACCCTTACTTTTAAAACAAATTTGCGTGATATGTTCATGACTTCTGAAATACTCTAGAATTACCAATGATTCAATCGAAATATTAATACGACAGCTGATTCTTTAAAAAAAATTATTTGCTTATTATTTCATATATGCTAATAGATATAGACGAAATGTGCAAAATTACCTACTGAAAATAAATTTGACAAACCGTTTAAATCTCCTTTCTTCAAACAAAATTAAAATCATCATAAAAAAACTTACATTGTCTAAAATGGACTAATATATCGATCATGCATTGATATTTAAAGTTTATATTATAACTGAAATCCAGAATCGGTTTTATCCTAATTAGGAAGCAAATTGGTTAAAAAAAATCTAATAGACGTTAAAACGGTTGTTCAATTACCTATAACTTTTTAATCTAATTAGCTAAAATGTTTTGGTAAATAAATTACTCCTTTAAACCAATTGACTATTTAAGATATGTCTTTCGAACAATTTAAGTACAGTTCAGAGCGGAAAAAAGGCCTCAATGCAATATTAAATAAATTTATAAGAAAACAGAAACTAAAAAAGACGTATTTTTTTCCCTCAAAATGCATGCACTGTAAAATATTTCGAATCAAATTCTGCTATAAAGTCTAAACAATTTGGATGCATCATCCTTAAAATCTATTTTTACAGTAAAATGCTATACCATAATTTTTACGGTCATATTTATTTAATTAGAGTGACTCAGTGATTTTACGGTAATTATTACCATAGATTTATCAGATTTCTGTTTTACAACGAATTCTGGTAAAATGATTTTACTGTAAGAAGTTCTAGCACCCTGAGTGCCGGCAATTCTTATCGTAATTTGGTTCAGAATTTTTCACAGTGTATGCGGTTATAATTTCTCCTTAAAAAGGGGATACAAATTAAATTTCATTATTCCTAAAACGTGTGTTATCTATGTGTTATCGATTCGTTGTTTAAAATTCAGATTATGGTATCGAATTCAAAAATTATCAATCAAAAATCGATTTCTAATAAAAACACTTTTAGACTGAGTCATCAATTTTGATCAAATTTTAGATTTTCTTCATCGTTCTTCACTCTAGGCGAATGTGACAAAATTACTTTTCACCCCTGTAAAACTGTTTCCTATTAAAGAGACTCTCATTGCGGGTGAGTTGCGATTACATGGTTGTTATATGGTTGCTTATTGAGTATTGAATGAATTAGTAACTCTGATTTTTATTTGAATTGCTTTGAAACATATTGACTTTAAACATATTGTCACAGGTGATATTATTATTGATAATAACAAAGATGTTGAATTTTTACTTTGTAAGAGATTTTGTAGAGGAACTAAATATGGACCTCTTTCAAAGGATTAGTCAAGTACTACTTTCAATTTTTCATAAAGATATTGGTTATTTTATTATTAAAACTTCCCACTATACTCACTACATATCAATACATCTCTTTGTTGACTGGAAAGAGACAATACATTAAAAATTAAAACAACTTCTATTTGACAATTCTTTAATTAAATTCAGTATCTTCAAGTTTAAAACTTATTAGGCTTAGAATTCAAAGGGAAATATTCTAACCTTACGTCCTATAAGCATATTTTTGATTTTTTAAGAAAATTTAATCATAAATTTCATGCACAAATTTGTGAATTCCACATTAAAAATAATTTATACGTCTCAATTCAATATTAATTAAATTAATAAAAAAAAAACTCTTTTTAAAAACTTCTTTTTTTCCCTCAGAGCGCATGCACTGTAAAAAATTTCGAATCCAAATACGGTATAGAGTTTCAACACATTTTGTGTATCATCCTGAAAATACATTTTCACCATAAAATATTATACCGTAATTTTTACAGTAACATTTATTTAATTAGTGTGATTCAGTGTTTTTGCGATAATTATTACTGTAGATATATCAGATTTCTTGTTCCGCGACAAATTCAGGTATAACTTATTTTACGGTAAAAAATTTTGCCACCTTGAGTGCAAGTACTTTTTACCGTAATTTGATCCGCAATTTTTATAGGGTATGATGTAATAATTTCTGCTTAAAAGGAGCATAAAAACTGAAATCTATTCTTCCTTAAAACGCGTGTTATCTATGAGTTACCAATTCCTTGTTTAAAATTCAGATTATAGTATTAAAGGAGGAGAAAAGAGCAAAAACTCCCCATCAAATATAAATTTTTAATAGAAGCACTTTTAGATTGAATCATCAATTTAGATCAAATTTTTAGATTTTCTTCACCGTTCTTCACTCTAAGCGAATGTGACAAAATTACTTTTGCCCCTGTAAAATTGTTTCTTATTAAGGAGACTCTCATTGCGGGTGAGTTGCGATTACATGGTTGTTATGGATGAGAGACACAAAATTACGAGTAGAATGTTCATGCACGTTTTTTATCATATATGTTTTAACGACATTTGGTGTTTTTGGGCCACTCGCAAATTTCTTTAAAAATAAAAATACATATTTTCAAATAGTTAAATATTCCTTATAATTCTAACTATTACCAACGTGTAACTGTTTTTCGTACCCGAAATTTCAGAAACGCAAAATATTTAGATTAATGCATATAAACGTGGAAAAAAAATTTTGATGAAGTAACCGCACTTTATGGTAATGACACTTATGGTTCAAAAAGATGATTAATTAAAAAAAACGTAATTCTGGCATTGATGAAACTAAAATGTACGATATTTAAACCATTCATTTGTTAACGTTTTGCCGGAAATTCTGGTATTCAAAATTATAGTTCTCATTGCCACTAATTTAGTAAAAAATACAAATCGGAAAAGTAAATCTAAACGAATAAATGGTTTTTATACTATGCTCTACTGTATCGTGATAAAATTAGTAAATTGTGCAATATTTATCAGATTTTATCTCATATAATAAAACCATATTTTAATTAAATTTTATCAAAACCATTAAAGTAATAGTAAATTACTTTTTTGAACTGAGATAAAACAAAATCTGAATGTCGAACTGACTTTTTTCTCATGAGGATTTAAGAATCTAATTTTAAATAAATTTGACTTTTCTTTGATAAATTTGACCTTTGAAACTTAAGTACACTATTCACTATCAAGAGTTTTAATTTGAAATTCCGTTTAAATATATTTAAATATAATACTACTTTCGATCGATAAATCCTTAATTAAAACGAATTTTTTTCTAATTTGAGAAAAAAACAACGTAGCAATATTTCATGAATTAGTAATTTTGATTTTTTATTTGAATCACATTTATAACATATTGAACATATTAACTTTAAACATATTGTCACGGGGGATATTAATATTGTTAATAGCAAAGGTGTTGAACTTGTAGTTTGTAAGGGAACTGAATTTAGACCTAATTCTTATTATTAGCATCAAAGTACTACTTTAAATTTTTCATGAGGATATCGGTTATTTCATTATTGAAACTTATCACACCACTCACTACACACTCACGCATCTCTTTGTTTACTGGACAATGGACAATACATTAAAAATTTAAACAATTTATATTTGAAAACTTTCATCTAACTAAATTCAGTAACTTCAAGCTTAAAATCTTATCAATGACTTAGAGTTTAATGAAAAACATTCCATTATATGTCCTATGGACTATGTCTACTTTATCTTTATTTATAAATGTTTCTATATTAATTTAACAATTTAATTAAATAATATTAATTAATTAATTTAATAGCAACGTACTTCGCAATTCTCAAACACATAAACTCCATTCTAATAACTACAACACTATTAAAAAAATCTATTTTAAATAAATTATGTAAAATTTAAAATAATGACTTTGCGCAATCCTATATTACTATGGTCCCAAAGATTCACAAGATACCTATTAAATCTCGCTTCATCATTTGTGGTATTAATACATACATGAATACACCAAGAAAATTCCGTGCTAAGTACTTAAGAATTTTATTTAGTCATTTTCATGATTCGGGTTTTACTTGAATTAAAAATAATAAAC